GTTAAGTTAACCCTGTATATTAATTCTTACCTAATGGTGAATCGTTAATAGGTAAATCCAATGGTGACGAACTACTAACATCCACAAATTCAATTGACTCATTTAAAAATGGATGTTCAGGGCCATCTAATGGAGTCTTGGGTGAATTTATAGCTAGAAATAAACCAGGTTAAATTATTAAAAATTCAATAAATATAAGTATATTTAGTACACGAAGTATACTTTATAACAGTAAGTTAAACAATTATACAAAAATCATAAGTGGTATCAAATATCCTAGTATACCAATCTCATATTTAGTTATTTCTAAATATTTAATACCATTATGATAGTAATACACACTTATAATGTAGGTAACAAGTTTTATTAACGCAACTATTATTTAAGGTCAAAACAGACGACTGGCGTTCAGCGTATTCGCTGTTCGTGTAATAAAATAACCAAGTAAACATAATAATACATACATGGTAATGAAACGGTAGGCAATGAACCCTTCTTCAGTCGAAAAGTTCCACAACTGTAGTTGGAACTATTGAAATGTTTGGTACATATCAAGTATGTTTTCCTCACATCCGACTTGGAAAGAGCCTCCAATTTTACGTTTCCAGTTCTTGAAACCCAAGTGGCAAAGTCATTGTCTTCCGTAGGAAAAACATGTTTTTTAACCGAATTACCACTTTCACAGCCCAACACACAGCATTTGTTGGATGGCATAATTCAAAAATTATGTAACAACAAAATATAATATTGAAAATGCAAAGAAATTTGGTAAAACTTGGTAAAAACGTGAAAATCGCAAGAGAAGTCAAAACTCGAGAACGCGGTGGAGCAAAATGCGATGTTTTGATATTTCACTTTTATGAGGTTATAAAATTCTTCTGTCATGGAGTAAACGAACATAAATGCTAAATTTTAGTCAGTTGTTCCATGAGATACGACCCTAGCGTAGCGATTGTTTCTCTTCTGAACTAATATCAAAGTCATCGAATTCACAGCTATAAGTTGACTAGGCCTGGTCAAGACGTCAAGTGTACCTCGTCATTGAGTAAGACACTGTAGTGTATGTATTGAATTTGAATTTATTGATAAATCATTTCATAATAAAAACGATCCTGAGCGAAGACAGCATGTCAACCTTTAATACTAAGTGTATTTTATGATAAATATTGTGTATTGCTACTTTTTTTATAGCTATTTTCAGTTATCTTACAATTGGTACCTACTACCTAATATGGTAGGATGAATATTAATTTTTACCGAAAACATTGCATTTGTTATATTATTGATATTATTTATTTTAATAATATTATATTATATTTATATCATTATTATTGTTATTAAATTTTGAGTCAATAATGACTTACCTTAAAACGGTGTTGATAGGTTAGTTGTATAAATATTTAATTGTTTAAAATTAATCTGGAAATGACATTATCAACATAAAATATAACAGCATAGGTAAGTAAAAGTTTCAAGTACTCATAAGTCATAATTAATATTTCTTTGTGTGCAGTTTTCGATATTTTTATCGAAATCTCGTATAATAGAAACAATTTTCTACAAGAAATTGCCCTGAACATTGTTAATCGAAGCATTTTTTCTCTGCTTCAAAGATGATGTCAGACACAAAAATAATACAAACACGTATAATATCATTGTGAAATCAATACATTCATGGTTCCGCTCGGAATCTAAAATACGAAAAAATTACCTTATATATTAAGTTTGACAACGATTCTACTAGCCGTAAAAAAAGCGTCGAACAACAATAGCGATTGCAATGATAACGGTTCGAAGGTATTTTCGGAAAATATTCTAACAAATACACACATCGAAATTGGCACGTGTGTTGAAATGACAAGTTCCGACGCGAAAAATTCGTTCAAAATCTAACCGTCTACGTTTCAGCAGCAATCGTCATATAGATGCACTTTGACTTGAAGCCGGAAATAATGTTATACTGTTTGTGTATCCGACTATACTATATGTTTCTATTAAATTATAATTTATATATAATATAATATTATTGTTTTTTTAATATTAAATGCCTTATTTCCTAAAGTTTCCGTATTCATATCTATAATATACATTATTAATATAAATTATTTAAAACGCACATAGTCACCTATTCACTTGTAGGTATAATTTCTCATTTTTATAAGTTCTTCGGATGGGTATTTAATATAATATGGTTCCAATATTTATAGCGTGGGGGCGCCAACCGTATTGCACACGCTGTATTGTTGTATACGACGCGTTTTAATGGGAACGTCGAACGGCTTCGTAAAATGTCGTAAAACAAGTTCACACAAGCTTTCGATGGAAGTTATACGCACATACGATTCAGTTATGATGCCTGGGCTCGGGGTACAAACCCTTTGTCTTTCATTAACGAGATTTAGTTTTACAGTCTCGGGTATAACCGTGTCATGTCGGTTTATTAAATTAATTTTCCTATTTTACATTTTCCGTTTTACTGCGAGCGTGGAATCGATCGGTCAACCTGTGGCAATATATTATTATCAAATAAAATTATTGTAATTTTTATAGTCACAGTATCGAATCACCCTATGCAGTACATTATTATTCCCTAAAGGACACGTTAGACTCGGCGGTGCAGGACCGACAACGTGCACAATCTATTTATCAAAAAAATCTATGTTTAGTAGTAATAACTAATTACACCGTTTTTACTAAAGAGCGCTAAAAATATAGTATAAACTTATAATAATTTATTTAATGCTAATTTTACAATAGTTTGATCATCATAATATTTTACAGAAGTATATATTAAACTTCAGAGAAAAAAAACCAAGTGAGGCTGTATGGTACACCCGTCGCTTCAACCCAACCTACAATATGGCACTGACAATAATTCAATGAAATATAGTTAATAAAATAAAATATATATATTTAATATATTTATTTAATAATTTTTTAACAACGATATGAAAACAATATTTTGCGTGATTATAAAAATAATACTGTTGTGAATCGGTGCAGCCATGTTTTTACGTTACGTATTCAATATCAATTTTCACAACCAATCACAAAAATGGTACGTACATCATAATATAATGTGCGAGCTATAGTTATTTTTATGAATTTTGAAAATAAATGTTTGTCATTATGATGCCGAATAGAAACTGAGATCTAGTGAGTGTTAACTTTCTTTTATGAGTAACTTATCGTTCAGAAGACTGATGGCTTAACATGATGCGTTACACGTCAAGAAATCTCATAATGTTTAATGTAAAAGTAATATTCAGTCAAAAGTTCTACTTCGTACCTAATAATAATAATAAATTTCAGTTACATGTATTAGTCGTATATTATTCATAATGAATAGTTAAGTTGGTTAAAATGTGTATTTGTTACAGCCAAAATGTTTAAGATACATTATGGATAGAGCTCAGATGTAAATGACCAAAATTTCACTAAAATAATATGCTATTAAAAATGTCAAAATATGCAAGTATATGCCTTTAAATAATATATCAAATATACCTATTTTTCAACAAATATATGCAAAAAAAGATATTAATTTTAATTCAAAATAAATTATAAACTCTATAAAATTAGAACTAAATATTATATATATTTTAAACAATTACACTGGATAATAGTAATTCACTATTCAGAATAATTTTTGTTTAGTAAATGAGTTTAAAACAAATTTATTGCAAAATACATAATGGAAAATAAAATACTATAAATATAAATGTATAAATTGTATAAACATGTTACCTATAGGTTAAATCATTTAAATATCAAAATTACATTGTATGACAATGATTTTGGATTTATATTCAAATTTGAAAAACCTTCGACGATTTGACAGTATGTTTTTGTAAACTTAAAATAACCTCTCCACGTCTACAGAGTTGGCCGATGTTTTTATAGAATTAATTTATACGACCATTCCGCATAAAATCAGTGAAACAACGAAAATTTGAACTATTTCAACACATCAAAAGTAAGATTTTAATTATAAAAAATATTTGGTTTAGTTTTTGGTTTCAGTGTACGTTAGCAACTTAAAAGGTATCGAATAGCCCGATCGATAGTTAATCAATGATTGATTTGATAAAGTCGAAGGGCTAAAGACAAACAAAGCAAATTAATTAATTAAAAACAATCAATATGCATGTAAAAATGAAAGTTTGTCTGTTTGTATGTATGTCCTTTATGCCTGCCTAAATAGTTGGACCAATTTTTGATGAAATATTTTGTGTGTGTTGAGTGGTTCCCTGGATGATTTAGATTCACAAGTGGAGCCGGTGTGATAGGAATACAATACCCTAGAATATTCATAACGCCCGGGGGTATGATTTTTCTAAGTTAATAGTACGCCCCCGGTACAATTTTTCTAGGATATTCATACCCTCCAAAATTTTATACCGGGGGTACAAATATCCTAGGATAATTACACCTCCATGGTATGCAAAACCTAGGAAATGTACAACCCCGGTATAATATTCCTAGGATATTTAAATCTCCCAAAATTTCTCACCAGGGGATACGAATATTCTAGGAATTTTATACCCCCAGTATGATAATCCTAGGATATTAATACCTCCCAAAATATCATACCGGGGGGAGGTATTATGATTCTAGGATATTTGTACGGGGGGTACTATTAATCTAGGACAATTATACCCCTGGGGGGTAGAATATCCGGGGGTATGATTTGCCTGTTACAAATAATTTGTAGAAATAATTATTTTTTTTTGTTTATTCGTTGTTTTTGGTTAATCTAAGCATGCATCAAATCGAATTTTCACATATTGCTTATCAAGGTTGCCGAGTGGAACTTATAGCCACTCATTGGCGTGTCCACGGTTAAAATTATAATAAAACATATGGAGTTGGCATTTTTAATGGGCAACAAAAGTGCACGGGATCAGCTAGTATGATATAAAATTTGACCATAGCAGGTGAAATTAATTGCGACTAGTATCAAATAAATACTCACTAGGGAACCTCAATTCATGCAGAATACAATTATTATTCAGGAATCAAATTGTAAAATAAAAATGTATAATGTGTAACATTTATACAGATTTTATATAATATATCTAAGTGCTAAACATTAATTAGTTGTCATGTAGGAGTATATGTAATTTGCACAAAAAATTGAAAATTTGAAACAAAACTTTCCAAAAATCAATTCAGGTATTTTACAACACGACCACTAATAATATTATACTTAACAATTTGCATTATTCATAGTTTGAATAGGTATTTCATATAAACTTGAAAAATGTTTTATTTGATTGTATTATACTTTCCAAGACGAGTAAAATGTTGAGAAAACTAACTATCAATTTCTTGCACAAAATCAAAATATACTCTTGATACTTATACTTTATGTGAGGGATACCACACAGGACCTAGCCAATTATAGAAGCTTCCACACAATTCAAATCAATTATCACACCTTTGATTTCCATCTCCACATACGGTGATCATACAAATCGTAGAAAAAAATAAATTATAATACACATTCACTCACTTTTAATTATCTTCGCATCCTCTAATTAAACTCCAATTATATCGTAAACCATTTAGATAAATTAACTCTACTATTCATAGACAAATTATAGGAAGACGGCTACTTCAACGAGACAATCAAGCCATAATACCTTTAAACAGTCCTCGAATTGGAAATTATTAAGTAGAGTAGCTCTATACAACAATATTTAAAAATTGAGTTTCAAGCCCAAAATTATTTAACACAAACCCATTGGAGTGCCATTCCTAAGTTGTGTATACTATATTTCTGCTTTTTTATGGCATGTTATCAGCTTTATTACATTCCAAATATAAATTATAATATATAATATTATTTAATTAGGTAACAAGTCAGTGAATAAGGATTCATATTTTATATTCACATTATTGTATTATTATTTTAAATTTAAAATTGTGTAGCCGGTAAGACAGACCTAAGTTCCGGTGACGGTGTTATGATTACGACTAATTATGTATTTTGCGAAAACGCCAAAATCATCGCACATGATGATCAGTAATTGATTAAATATTAATAACGCACAAATGGTTATACACTGTGAATTATTGGTGAATATTAAATAAATAAGTTACTCAAAGATTTTTAGGATGAATTCGGTGGAAATTCACACAATGGTTATAAAATACATACCTTTTATACTGTAGCGAATATTCGAATTTAATACCGTG